AAAAAGGAAGAAGAGGAAAAAGGAAGGAGGAGGAGGAGGAGGAGGAGGAGGAGGAGGAGGAGGAGGAAGAGGAAGAAGAAGAAGAAGAAGAAGAAGAAGAAGAAGAAGAAGAAGAAGAAGAAGAAGAAGAAGAAGAAGAAACCTTCAAATAGTTCATAGGCAATTTTATTTTTTTTGTATAGAAGCATTGCTCTTAGCCTTATGTAAGAGATACATTTAAACCTATCATTGAACTTTCCTGGCAAATGCAAGGCTTCCTGATACAAAATATCTCCATTTTATTTGTTCATTCTATAACATGCATTGTAACTCTCACTGCAAAGTGCTGGGCTAGATATTACAGACTATGAAAACAAAATCATTATCTCTGCTTATAATTCTTTGGTTTGATAAAGGAAATAATACACTTATTTAAATAAATATACAAATGTGTAGAAGGTGTAAATTGGATAAAGTAAAGCTCAGATAGTAAAAAGTGAGATTAGCTTGAAGATGAAGGATCAATTAAATCCCAAAGTTGACTCCCTGAGAGAGATCCCCCCAAGAATAACTGGGATTCAGAGAAGCAAGACAACCAGTCTTTGCTCGATGGTCAAAAGCAAATACTCAGGATGATGGAGGCCAGGGCTGCAAGGTACTTGTGTGTGGAGGGCTGAACAAGCAGGCTGGCAGCAGATTGGGAGGTCGCTGAATGTCTGATGACATGAACAAAGTTCAAATTGTACTCAACTCCCTGTTTTTACTGACTTTATCCCTGTAGCAACAATACATTCAAGGAAGCTTTACTAAAACTAAAGGTATTTTTAGAACAATCTTATATCAAGATTTTTGGAGAGATGGCTGAGAGGCTAAGAACATTTAACTGCTCTTCCAGAGAGTGTGGGTTCAGTTCCCAGGACCCACATCTGATGGCTCACAACTTTCTGAGATTCCTTCTGTGGGATAACCGATGCCCTCTCTGGTCTCTGCAGGCACTCCACTCTTGTGGCACATACGAATGCTCTGGAACATGAACATAACTGTGCAACCAAAATGAGAAAATATTTTTTAAATGTATCCCATCATGATTTCTATGTTACCATTATTATAATTAGGATAAAATTCCTTTTTTCATGGCACGTTTTGGTTCTTTTAGTTCTTAGGAGGTCAATTAAGGTTAATTGGAAATACGAGCTTGTCTTAAATCTTCAGTGGAAGAGCTATCTGGATTTTGCAATGTCAACCCAGAAATATCCTCATGTGAAAACATAGACTAATATAAAAGAAGAAGCCAATTAGGAAGGATCTAACAGAAAAAGGCCTTGACATGTGCAAACAGCTACTTCAGGAATGATTGGGAACGAGCTCAATGGCTGGGCGTTTCTGTTTGAGTTGTCAGCCTCTCCCTAACTTTTTCATTAAACACTCAACTAACCTTAAATTGCCCTCTTAGAATTTAAACTCAGTGCAATTTGCAGCATTCCAAAGTCACCAAGCAAAAACTAAGTAGTACCCTAAAAGGGGTCAGTATCAGGACACTCACTCCCAATTACAAAGCTATAAATGCCCTTAAGTGATGGGTAGGATTTTTAAGTCATTGACTCTGTTAGATTGTGTTAATGACAACAAATTTTCAGCAAACTCATACAAATCTACATTGGAGAAAGAAGAAAGTGTCCTAGAACTTGGAATGTCAGCACCAACAGAGTGTGTATGAAAAAAGCAGCCCCAATCTCCCACTCAAATATAACTTTGGGACATCTACCTACAAGGCTTAGTTCTATCAAACCCCTTTCAGTAACACAGTTAATGTTTACGTTTTGTTGGATTCCTCACCCCCCTGCCCAGCATGTAATTCATTACAGGAGCTCTTTTTTTTTTTTTTTTATCAGTTTCTGTATCTCCTTCCTCAAGGTGTTGTCCATAGAAGCATCACAAAAGACCATTGGGTCTTGGCCCATATCTAATTAGTGAGGCTGTCTAGAGATAAGGTCCTAGAATCACAAAGAAGAACCTTCCTTCTTGTTCTAAGCATGAAAGTGACTTAGCTTTTTCTTGTGTTGCTCCCTTGGCTCACATCTTCACAGGCTTTCATTCCACCATGGAGCTGGTGTCAGACCTGTTCTCCACAGGTCAAAACCTTAATCTAGTCTTATCAAGTTACACAAAACTCAATTGTGGTTAGAACTTACTCAGATTAAATTTTTGAAAAATTTATTTTTATTTAAATTAAAAGCAACCTTATTTTATATACCAACCCATCCTCTCATGCCCCCACAAATGCCACATCCATCCCCCTATCCACTCCCATGGGGTATCATCAAAGTCTGTCACATCATTTGGGGCAGAACCTACGTCCTCCCCCATGTATCTAGGATGGAAGAGTATCCCTCCATAGGGAATGGGCTTTGAAAGTCGGAGCACTAGGGATAAATACTGGTTCTACTGTCAGAGGTCCCATAGACTTCTCTGGCCTCCCAACTGACACCCACTTTCAGGGGGCCTGGTTCAGTCTTATGTTGGTTCTCCAGCTGTCAGACTGGGGTCCATGAGTTTCCACTTGCTCTGGTCAGTTGTTTCTGTGGGTTTCCCCAGTATGGTCTTGACCATTTTGCTCATCACTCCTACCTTTCTACAACTGGATTCCAGGAGTTTGGTTCAGTGCTTAGCTGTGGATCTCTGCTTCTGCTTCCATCAGCTACTAGATGAATTATTATTACAAACTAAAGATTTCTAGTGCTCAACAACAGTGTACATTTCTTTTTTTAAAGTTTATTTTCTCCTCCTTCATTTGGGTTTGCCTTTGGGGGGGGAGGAGGACTCCCCCACACACATATTTCTTTTTTTAAAGTTTATTTTCTCCTCCTTCATTTGGGTTTGCCTTTTTTTGGGGGGGAGGAGGACTCCCCCACACACACGTGTTGAGTAGAAGTAAAGACTGAATGACAGAGATTATTACAACAATGCAAGCTTGGGGGGAAATCTTGCAAAAATAGTTTCTTTCTGGCAATATAAAATTCCAACTACCAAATTTAAGCTTCTCTTATTTAAATACAGATGAGGGTATATTTTGGGTGCTGTTCTGGCTATTTGTCACTTTGACAAGGCTAGAGTCATCTGAGAGGAGGGAATCTGAGTTGAGAAAAATGCTTCCAAAAGACTGCTGTAGTGATTGATGTGGGAGGGGCCAGCCCATTGTGGGTGGTGCCATCCATTGGCTGCTGGTGGTGGATTCTCTAAGAAAGCAAGCTGAGTAAGAGACAAGGAGCAAACTGGTAGGCAGCATTCCTCCATGGCGTCTGCATCTGCTCTGACTTCAGGTTCCTGCCCTTTTGGTTCCTGCCCTAACTCCTCTCAGTGATCACTTGTTAACTGGAAGAGGAAGCAAAATAAACACTTTCCTTCCCTAAGTTGCTTTAGCTCATGGCATTTCATCACAGCAGTAGACACCTAACTATGATAAGATGCCAACAATTTATTCTTTAAATACTCTGAGCTTGTGTTTAAATCTACTACAAGTATTATACCACATTACATTCATATCAATCAACTATGCATCTGCAGACTGATAACTATGTGCTTTAGGAAAGAAACTGAAGTATAGGATACAGCACATTTAAGAAGAAAGCCCTATAACTAAGTGGAGATCAACCATGACACACAGAAACCTTAAGTCTCAACATGTCCTCATTTGCCTGGAACTACAGAACTTTACAATAACTCAGAGTTAGCTTTCTCTTCTAGTGTGACAGGAATCAAATACTCTTATTTTATGGAATAATTGTAAGGGTTAAAGTAAGCAATGAAAACCCTGGTTCATCATGATGCATCTATGAATTACTAATAATGGTAAAGAAACCATAACTCTCCACCATTCCTAAAACATCTTTCATTCATTTTTATATTTTATTCTTTTAAAAATAAGAGTTGTATCTCCCACCCTTGGATTTAGGACTTAGGACCTTGTTTTCCTTCTGTTGGTGCTTTTCTGGTTCCTCTGCAGCTGGAGCTACAGTGCTGACATTCAGATGGCACTGTCACCACCAAGTGGTTGTTAGAGGGTACTGGACATCAAACACAGCTGTGACAGATCACAGCATCATGATGTAGCAGGCTTAAAACTGCATATGTATCTGTCAAAAATGCTATTCTTCTTCTTCCTTGGTAGTATAAAATGAGGACCACCACTTCTACTTGATATTCCAACATGATCTTACTCTTTTCCTTTCTGGTTGGCCTTAGCATCCACAGTGAATTTAAAAATCTGTTTCTCCATAATCCTCAATACTTCCCATACTCACAACTGAAGATCTACAGAGCAAGTGACTACCTACTGAACATACCATAAATGAATGGCAACATGTTTTCACATTTTTATTGTGTACTTTCGTGTGAAAACGTCTCTATGATAGTTCCCTTAAACATGAATTATTTTACTTGTGAGGTTTTTTTTTTTTTCAGAATTAACCTGAAATGTACAACCCCTAGATTTACTACAAACTGAGAAGTTATTTTGTTTTTAATTTTGGAAATTCTGCATAAGTAAAAACTACAGTTTGAAAGGATAAGAGGGTTGGTAGCAGGGTGGGACTGTACAGCATGCTTATATGTGTATTTTGCAATCTCTCTTTTTAGTATAAAAGATGTAGGTTTGGGAGATGTTCTGAATTTCCCTCCTTTCCTTCAAGCATTTTGCAATGAGATTCTTTTATATATAGCAAAAGTTGGAAGTAATAAAAATGTGATGTTCATTTAAAAACTACAGCACATCACTGGTACAATACATGGAAAGACTTTGATAAAAGGCCTTCACTGTAAATGACATTCACATACACCTTCTGGGTAAGAGCTGTATTTGTTTACATACTTTTATTTAGAGTAATAAATTGTTGAATTATTGAAAAAACTCAAATAATCATATTGCTATTGTGAAAATTCTATTTCTTTAACATTTAATCTGAGATATAGTCTCATGATAAACCATATTACCAACATACTGTTTTTCTTTTTTGTAATGACAGGTAAATGACATATTTATAGATTCAGCCTTGAATAAGCACTACATCAAAACCCACAGAGTCAGAAAAATGTATGTATATTTGGGCAAGGGTATAATTGCAAACCTGGAGGGATGAAGGGCAAAGGATACAAGACTCCCCACATAACTTGTGTGTTTAGGCCTTTTACTGGGGCACTTCATAAATATTGTCACTACAATAGTCTCGAGTTACAGAGCTAAATGCATTCTGAAAACTGAGACCCTGAGGTGGGAGGAGAAGGATGGTGATGTACTGAATGTTCCCTCAAGAGACAGTTACAGCTGTCAGAAAGGGCACTCAAGCCCTACCCACTGACTGGAATCCACCCTTAATACACAGCCATAGGTAAGCCTAGGCCATGTTTTTGCATCCACAGAAATCCAATTCTGGCAGATATAAAACAAAAACATCAAGAAGGCAAAGATCATTATAAAATGGGATTATAAGTTTTACTAATAACAAAGGAACTAGTGACAGATGGCATGCCCGAACCAAAAGACAATCATGTAATAGATGCTCACTTTTGTTTGGGTGGGGAGGGAAGACTCATATTGGTGGCTTAAATTACTCAGTGGTTTAAACTTTGTTATTTTAAAAATCACAAAGCAGGATGGGCACAAAACTAGGAGTTTGTGTGACTGACTCATCTCAAAGAGAAAAAAGATACTCAAACAAAAATGTAATTATGAAACCCACGAAAAAGCTTGATAAAAGTAACTAAGAGATTTACCTGAAGGGATGAGAGGTGACTGCTTTTCTTACCAGTAGACAACAAAAGACTGAACACCTTCTAAAGACCTTTGCTTCCACAAAGAGTTTTTAAAAAATGACTTTTGTTTCATGCTAAGCAATGTTTTTGTCTGTCTGTACACACACACACACACACACACACACACACACACACACACACACACACACACACACATATATATATATATATATATATATATAT